AGAGAAATTTATATAGGAGACTGGACCAATGGATGAATTCTAACAACATTTACTTTAAAAAGAATCTGTGGACTCAGCACGGTGGTTCATGCCTGGAATCCAAGCAACTTAGGAGGCCCAAGCAGGCAGACCAGTTGACCTGAGGAGGTCAAGACCAGCCTGGCCAACGTGGTGAAACCTTGCCTCTATATAAAATACAAAAATTTGCCAGGCATGGTGGTGCCTACCTGAGATCTCAGCTAATTGGGAGGCTGAGGCATCAGTACCAGGGTACTTCCTGGTTTTGATGATGCCACATACACATACCACAGGTTCTATTAGTAGCAGTGTCCCCTTGGAGCTCCTCACAGGAGGTACTGTGTGCCATCATCGTGTTTCCCCCAGTGTCCCTAGAACACAGCTTTGACTACTGGGCCTCAGCAGAAACCGGAACTGAATAGAAGTTCAGTAGCCTTAGACATTTAGGCCAACAGACTAGATGCTACTTGTCTATAGGATCTTATATGGTACAGAGAGGACTCCTGTAAACATGGATTTAGCCTCTTGCTGAGGAAAACAGGTGGTTCTGTGCCTGTGTCAGAAATCAATAGGTGGGATTGTAACCCTAGTCCCACAGTCACCTTACTGCAGATGTGGAAAAGTTGCTAAATACTTTGTCCTCTGTCTTCCATCTTTAACTAAATGTTAAAGTACCCATTTCTATTTTCTACAAGTATGGGAAAAATAAAATTAATTTTGATGAAGAGATGGTTAGTTTCTTGAGATAAGACAGGAAGTCATTCATCAGTTTCATGGTGGTGAACCTGTAGAACTTACTGTATGTCTTCAGCTGATAGTTCTGGAAGTAGGCCACCTGGCTCAGAAGAAGTCTATTTTTGCTGGCTCCGAAATTCGGTTTGGTCTCTTCCTGCTGGCAGTAGGAATTGTCGATGGTATGTGGAAAGTTGACCTCTGTGGTTTTCGTGGAACAAGTCCTGCCAGATGTCGCCATGCTGACATTTGGGACACCACAGGTACAGCCAGGGACTGGGGAGAAGAAATCCAAACACATGATGGGTTAAAAACTGGAAATCAAATAGGTTTAATCAGGACTGGGGGATGTCAACAACTCAAATTCTTAACTTACTGTTGAGAAGAACTTGATCCTCACAGCACTTTAGGGTCCTTAACCGCAAAAACAAGGTTCGCAATGCTTCAGCTGGGAGCTGAAGGTGCTGCCTGTAGCTCAGACTCTGACAAGAGTGTGGGAGATACTGGCCAGAGTCCCAGGTAACGGCCTGCTGTTGCAATAACAGAATTAGAATCTGGGCGTGTCATGGAATCTTAGGAGCCCTTCATTCCAATTGCCCAGGGTTTGCCAAACCCAGGCCTCCTGGTCTTACCTGAGGTCACAACCGATGGGGACCATT